GATTCGGCACAGTCTGTGTCTCCCGGAACCACACAGCTCTGCAGTGGAGAACACGCTCTCCCCTCGTTCCCTCCCCTCTGTCAAACCTGTGTGCTGAGGACAAGAACACAGCATCTGAAGTCACTTCCCGGGCTCATATCCTGCTCTGCCCCTTCCTGGATGTGCACAGGTAAGGAAGTTACTGAGCATCTATTCCGCTCCACTTACCCCATGTCAGGGTCTACCTCCCTGGTTTTTATGAGCTTTCAGTGCACACGAGGCCCTTCCTGACTGTGGGTCCACACACTCAACCAACTCTAGACTGAGAAAAACTGGCATCAATACTGAGCATGCGCAGACTTTCATGTCGTTGTTTTTCCTTGAATGATACAGACTAGCAACTAAGTACACAGCATGTACATTGTATTCGGCACTATAGTGAACTCAGAGATGTCTAAAGCATGTGAGATGGGAGCAGATCCCATGCATCCTTGAATCTTGGGGTCTGGTGAGGGTTTCTGGTACTGATGCCCCGTGGCTGCCGGAGGAGGGCAGTAGAGTGCTTAGATCTGTGTCCAACACGATGGATTCTGAGCACTGCCCCCTAGCCCCTGGGGATGAAGAACTGCACTGAATTCCTTTGGGTTCCCTAAAGTAGGACTCGGCCACTGCGTTGCACGACACAGGCTAGGACTCAAAATCCCCCCACTGGATGCTGCATCCTTGGTCAGCCGGGTCGTAGGAACTTAGCAGAAAAGGAGGGTGCGCACACACATCCCCACACCATCAGAATGAAGAGCCTGTCCACTCCTTCAGGCAGCGGGGACAGAAGGACACTATGCTGGCTGGCCTTATGCCGACGCGACACAAACTAGAGTGATCTGAAAGGAGGGAACCTTAATTGAGAAAAGGCCTCCACAAGACCCAGCTGTAGAACATTTTCCTAATTAGTGAGCGATGGGGGAGGGCCCAGCCCATGGTGGGTGGTGCCATCCCTAGACTGGTGGTCCTGGTTCTGTAGGAAAGCAGGCTGAGCAAGCCAGGGGAAGCAAGCCAGCGAGCAGCTCCTCCATGGCCTCTGCATCAGCTCCTGCCTCCAGGTTCCTGCCCTTGGTGATGAGAAGTGATTTGGAAGTGTAAGCCAAATAAACCCTCTCCTCCCCGAGCTGCTGTTCCACTGCAGCAATAGAAACCCTAAGACAGACACCCTAGGACTCCCAACACACTGTTCACTGTCTGCCCTCTTGGAGGCCTGGGGCTGAAGTCCATGTGGTACCTGCTTTCTCAGATTGCATAACTAAGGTGCCACCAACCGGGTGGCTTCAAAAATAAGGTTATGAAAACCAGAAGTCCCAAAATTGAGGTGTTGGCAGGACCACGCTGCCTTTGGAGCCCCCGGGGAAGACCTGCTTGACGCATGCTAGCTCCTGGTGCACTGACGAAAGCCCTTGGCTCATGGTTTCATTACCCCAGCCTCAGTGGTTCTTAGCATGCAGCCTTCCAGGGTGAGGTTGTGTCTGTCCAAGGACGCCAGTGTTCTTAGCATGCAGCCTTCCAGGGTGAGGTTGTGTCTGTCCAAGGACGCCAGTGTTCTTAGCATGCAGCCTTCCAGGGTGAGGTTGTGTTTGCCTAAGGACGCCAGTTCCTATGGGACTGGGGCCACTGACTCCATTCTGGCTTCCTCTTAACCAATGCCTGCCAGGACCACAGTTCCCCCCAAGGACACATTCTCAGGTCCTAGGAGTTAGGGCTCACCATGGCTCTTGTGGTGTGTACATGCTCCAGTGTTTCACAAGCGTCTAAGCTGAGAGTCATCCCGCCACACAATGGCCCATCCACATACCCTAGAGTTTACAGTGCAGGTCGTCTGGGCTCCTAAATGAGGATGACTTGGCCTAACATTAGAAGGAACAACTGGAAAGCACTGGCTCTTCATACCCCCTCACACGCACATCCCAAAAGAAGCCCATGGCTGACGTCTAAACTGCCCAGGGCACAGCCTGGCTGGCATAATCCTATTTTAAAATACCCAAATGTGAAGCCTGGTAATTTTTAAAATTTTAGGTAGCTTTTGCCAAATGCATGTGTGTGGTTTTGATCAGGAAGTTGTGGGTTTGTGCATAATAAAAAAAAACTTTCAACATTAAAAATTCAGAATTGGTGACCACTGAGAAATCTATATAGCCCGAGGTATGCAGAGTCATTCTGTCCCCTCTCCCTTACCCCAGAACGCTCTGCCCCACACTTGGGCCAAAGGCCGGAAATAGTCCTGTCTCGAACCATCTTCAGGGTTACTCTGGTCAGCTTTACCAGCCTTCACCTGGAAGGACAGACTCACACCCGCAGGGAAAGCAGCCTTCACAGGCCAACCCATGTCTGGTTTCTGTTTCCAGAGCTAACGGTTGACTGTCTTCTAGCCCTCGGCCTTCTGACTGGAGCTCTCCAATTCCTTCAAGCTATGAGGAGGGAAGAGCTCCTCCCGAGGGCAGCAGGCTTTTCTGAGGGGCCAGGAGAGGAGAGTTGTGGGCTCAAAGCGCGACTGAATTCTGTCCCGTTAGCCTCTCTGAGCCAGCGTCCTTGCTTGCACCAGAAGGGAGGCAAGCTTTTCCTGTCAGAGGGCCCCGTGGCAAATCCCAAGGAGGTTTCGTGTGTTAGCGGCCAGTGAGTCCTTGAGTGAGATATTTAAGGCGCTCACCTCTCCAGAGCTGATGCACCTCACTAAGGGCAGAAGGAGAGTTAAAGGTAACTAAGATACACACACAGCTCTGGGTCACAACTGCCTAGGGCAAAGTGAGATCAGGGTGTAGCTATGTCTGGGGGCTCAGCCCTGGCATTTCAGAAGCTTCCCCTGGCTGGCAGCCTTTGGCCAAGGGTCCCCCATCTCCATCACCTCCTGCAAGCCCACTGGGCCCCCAGGGCCAGCAGATCTCCATCCATAGTGTATCATAGGAGAACTGAAGCCAGGGTTAGAGCAGCCTCAAGGACAACCTCAAAGGACTCCAGCTGAGCAGATGCTCACCCCTGTTCCTGGCTCCTCACCCAGGCTGTTCAGGGAACTGGGAAAGGAGCCACCACAACAGAACCTACACTCCAGACCTTTCTCTGACTAGCGCTGTGGGGTAGAAATCATGGCAGGAGAAACCCTGGGCTTAAATAAGCAAAGCCTACCAGGGGATATGAGTGCGTGGCTTGAGTTTACCAGCTCTTGGCTCCTCACCAAACTGACTCTGGCCCTCTGTGAGTGCTGGATATGCCCAGGGCCTAAAAAGGTGCCTTACCACTGTAGAAAGAATGTACAAGTCAGCTCAAAGGTCCTATATGGTGGCAGCCACTGGTGAGGACCAGTTCCAGCCCATGGGCTCTCCTTTTTGGGTGGAGACAGAACACACCCAAGGAACATCTAAGAAGACCTCACAGGACCAACTAAAATGTCCTGTACAACAGTGGGCAGGCCAAGCCACTGGGAGGGGGTGCTCTTATGTGCACCAGAGATCAAAAGAGGGACAATGGTGACATCACCAGGGAGCCATGTCATTTCAGATGAGACAAGGCTGGACCGCAAGAAGATGCCAAGTACGCTGGTGTGCTGGACCACCACCGAGAGCTCTCGCTTTCCTCCTGCCCAGGGTATAGCCTCTCCTTCAGCTGATGGGCTGGGTCAGTCAGCCATGCTGGTGGTAGGAACCACAAGAGTCAGTGTATTCACATGCCAGGGTTGGTCCCAGAGGCAGCCAGCCACACTACCCTGAAACAGCCCCACCCAGTGGGGGTGAGGGTGAAGGTTAGTAGCGCTGACCCTCTCAAATACTTGCCAAAGAACCAAGGAATACCACTGATATGAGCCAACCGCTAACCAGAAACGCGCACCCAGGAAGGGTTGGTTGGTCTTTATTCCACACAAGCTTCCAGTCTGTTTCTCCGCTGCAATAGCCTTGCTTCTGGGGGAAGGCCCGTGGTTCCTAACCACTATGGGGCTTCTTCGGAAGCCTCAGGGCCCTCCACAGACTGTCCTGCCCTGGCTCACAGTCTTTGGCCAAGGGTCCTCCATGTTCTGCATCTCCAGACTGCACCCACCCTCCTCGCCCACCAGACTTCTGCTGCAGTCTTCCTCCCCCTTGCAGATTTGCGATGGTAAACCCTCGCAGCTCCTTCAAACAAACAAACAAACTCCACAGCCTGGCCCGGGTGGTCCCTCAGATACATCCCTTCTCACACACTCTCTCTCTCCTTCCCTCCCCTCACCCCTGCCTTCATCAGTTCCCAGCACCCTAAGGTTCAGTTGTCCACAGGGGACTGGCTAGTTCCAGCCACCTGCTCTCGGCCCCTTCCCTGTCTGTCCCACACCCCTGAAAAAAATCACTCTGAGATGCCCTCCTCTGACTCCGTCCCTAGTTAATGCTACCCAGTTCCTGTTGGGTAGGAGCCTGCGAAGCATCAGGAAGCTGACCCTCCCTATGGCCAACTCCAGCATCTCCCAAACAGCACCACTCACCTGCAGCCAGCCAACCCAAGTTTCCTAAAAGAGCGTGTGCACTTGAAATCTTCTTGGAAGCCTCGTTGTCTCCCGGAGAGCCCGGGGTCGCTCCCTGGAACCAGTGGCACCTCCAAATCTCTAGGAGGGACCTCTGCGGACCCCATCAGTCTCATCACCAGCAGAGCACCCCTCCCACACCCCACAGAGTACAGGCACCACCTCGGGGAACCATAGCTTTTAATTTTACGAGGCACCAAGTGTTTTCTCTGCCACAGATTCAGGCCAGTGCGGGGGGGGGGGGGGCAGGTTATTCACACCGGACCCAACTAAGGTTGGAGCACGAATCGTGCTCCAAGGTCAAAGAGGGAATTGGCAGCAAAGGCTGTGACCAGAGGTGGTGGTCCCCAGCGGCCCCTCCTCCTCCCACACTGACATCTACCTGCCCCCGAAATGAATAAATTCTCCCGATCACCCTCCCTTCTGCGAGCTGTCAAGGTGACTCCGGGTCCCGAGTCGGGGGCCGAGGGATGGAAGGCTGCGCGCTTACCCTCCAAGGCCGCCTTCCAGCTGGTGCTACCCTCGTAGCCTGACCCCGATCGTCGCAACAGCCCCTCTGGGCCACGGGCCTCGGCCTCGGCTGGCGAGCGTGGCCTGGGAGCCGCGGGAGCGGGGCGCGCGGCGGGGGGTGGCGGGCGGGTGCGCCCGGGGGCTCTCGGGCCGGCTCCATGCCGTGGCGCGCGCGCACTCCTGCAGCCGGCTGCGGGGCCCGGCCCCACGCGCACTCGGCGCTGCGTGCACCCCGCGGGCCCCCCAGGCCGACTCTGTGTGCTCCGGGGCCGCGGCGTCCACAGACCGGGGCTGAGCCCGGCTCCCGGCGCCCGGAGCCGCTCTGATCCCCGCTGTGCGCGCCGCAGCCTGCGCGCCCAGCCCCGCGCGGGGGAGGAGCCGGGACTGTGCGGGAGCTGCGACCGCGGGCGGGGTTGCAGGGAGGGAGGACAGCTCAGGTCACCAGCCCCGCCACCCACTCCCGCGCAGCGGAAGGTCAGGGCAGCGATGAGCCAAGGTGCTCCGCCTCCCCAGCCTCCTGCTGGGCATCTTCTAAAAGGGGGGGGGCTGTTCCCGGGGCAAGGCCCTGGGAAGGCTGCTCCGGGGTGACCTGCAGGCAGAGCAGAGTCGGGGCTGAGACTTGCCCACCAGATTCTCAGCAGCTAAGAGAAACGAGCCAAGATGCAAGGGGACACGGCAGAGCAGCGCTGTGGCCAGAAAGCCAGACCGACCATCTACTGAGTCAGGGACTTGCCCTCCCTCGTTTCTGGTTTATGTGGGAGTGTTCGAAATTGCACGTGGAAGCCTGGTGTCTTTATGGTATATTCACTATGCACTTTTTTTTCTTTTAGTACAGCCCTGGAAATCAGTATGTAGACCAGGATAGCCTCTGACTCACAGCGTGTCTGCCTCCCAAGTGCTGGGATTAAAGACGTCACCACCACACTAGACACCCTCTTATTTCTTCTTTGATACGGGACTCTCACTGAACCTTGGGCTCACCAATTCAGCTGGCCTCGCTAACCAGCCTGTTCCATGGACAGGTCTGTCCCTCCTCCCCCCCCCCCCCGCCCCCACTGCTGGGTTTCAGATGCTTGAAGCCAGCCCAGTTTTTACACCGGTGCTGGGGATCTGAACTCAGTTCTTACACATGTGTCATTTCCTCGACCTCCCTTTTGGGATTTTTGAGGCCGGGTCTAACTATGTAGCTCTGGCTGGCCTGGAACTTACAGCAGACACGGCTAGGGTCCAGCCTGCCACCATCCTCCTGCCTCTTCCTCCCAAGTGCTGGGATTACAAGAGCAACACAACCTAGCCTAGCAGCGGGGACTTGTCATACAGCAGCTGGCACCCTCCCCATGGGACGAGGATGGATTTAAGGAAGCCCAGGGCACAGCATGGTGTCGTCCTGATGCTTGGGAGGCTGAAGCAGGAGAATTAAGAGTTTGAGGTCAGCCTGCTGGACCACATAGACTGAGGCCAATTTAGGTTGTAGAGCGAGACCCTGTCTCAAGGAATAACAAGCAAAAAGGTCAAAGGAGTTTCGGAATCAGCCATGGCAGATGTGTAGTTGGCAAGGCATCTCCCTTCATGACCTCTCCTGAGCTCTGCTCTGACCTCTGACCACTCTTCATCTTCATTCTCTCTCTCTCTCTCTCTCTCTCTCTCTCTCTCTCTCTCTCTCTCTCTCTCTCTCTCTCTCTCTCTCTCTCTCTCTCTCTGCCTTGTGGTTGTGGATGAGATGTGAGCTCTCAGCTGCTGCCATGCTCTGAGCCATGATGTGAATGGACTCTAACTCTCCGGAACTGTGAGCCCCTATAAAGCCTTTCTCCAAGCCGGGCGTTGGTGGAGCACGCCTTTAATCCCAGCACTCGGGAGACAGAGGCAGGCGGATCTCTGTGAGTTCGAGGCCAGCCTGGTCTCCTGAGCAAATTCCAGGACAGCCTCCAAAGCTACAGAGAAACCCTGTCTCGAGCAAAAAGCAAAGAAAAAAGGAAGATGGAGAATGGATGTCAGGCACAGGGTCTGCTGCCGCCTAAGCCTCCTGGATTAAGACTGGCCGGCACCTCTCTTTCAGTTCTGAGACCCTACTCTACATCTCTAGAGGAGCGCCTGGGTGGAGCACCGACCCCAAAACTGCCAACAAGAAGCATCAAAGACATTACAGCATGCCAGTGACCACAACATAGGAAAATTATCTTTGCAGTAGGAGCAAGGGGATCAGCAAGGACACCCTTGCCGTGAGTCCTTGTGCTCAGGGACAAGGAGGGAGTTACCAAGCAGTGGCAGGGGCTGATTTAGCAGTGTCCCAGCCCTGACCAGCAGGCTTCAGGGTCTGATGCAAGACAAGACCCAACCTTTGAAGTCTTCACAGCCCCTAGTGGACCCCCTCGCTCCCCTCCCAGAGACTTCTGGAACCACCACCCCCCAACCGGCTTGATCTCAGCTGCTCTGGGTACCCAAACTCAGACTACCTCAGCCAGTGAGGGACTGCTGAGACCACAGAGGGGACCTCTCATGACAGACACAGTCACTGCGGTGGCACTCATGCTTCCTGGCCCTGACAGAGACAGAGTTCCTAAGCTGGCCCTCCTCTTGGACGTGCGAGGCTAAATCTGTGCCAGCTGGTGTGTGTGTGTGTGTGTGTGTGTGTGTGTGTGTGTGTGTGTGTGTGTACACTGTGGGCCTCGGCGTGGCCCACAGGGCAGTAGGATGCTGAGCCCCTGCCTGCAATGCCTCAGACACGGAGACTCTTGCACGGGACAGCAGAGTCCCACAGTTACGTGACACACTGCTAAACAGGGTTGATCAGCGCTGAGGCGGGCACGGGAAGCAGAGGTCTGGATGGGCTGGGGAGATGGCTCAGCAGGCAAAGGCGCTAAAACTGCTAAAGCTGAGAATGTGAGTTCAATTCCTGGGGCCCGTACGGTGGAGGAGAAAAATCAACTCCCGCAATTTGTTCTCTGACCTACACACACACACACACACACACACAAATATAACATTTTTTAAAAGGAAGCAGATGTCTCGAGCCCGGCTCCTTGTGCATCTGGGCAGCTCCCGTTGCCCTCCATTCAGAGGCACGTTCCTAAGTCTAGAAGGCTCTGTGCCAGGTGACCCTGCGTGCCTTCTCGTGTCTCAGAATATTGACTTTGTCTCCCTGCGCCATTATGTAACTGTGAATCCTGACCCACAAACCCAGAGTTGGGGCCAGGGGATGGGCATTTCCTTTTTTTAAACCAACTGAAGTGTAATTTTGGTCCCTGGGGTAAAAGGAAATTCCATTTCAGCTTTCGAAACTCTTTTTCATTGAGATCAACTTAGACAATAATTTAAATTGATCATTTTTAGACCAGGGCGTGGCAGTGCCTGCAGGTAATCCCAGCATTTGAGTTCTGTGTCATCCTTGGTTATTTAGTGAGTTCAAGGCCAACCTGGATGGAACTCTGTTTCAAAACAAATAATTTTAGTACCATTTCCAAATCTATAATTTGTCATCCTTTAGTGTACCCACAAGCTTGTGTACCATTTCTACGATCTCATTCTAGAAGGTTCAGCCACAAAGGAAATCCCATACCAGGCAAGCACACTCCCACCTCCTTTGTCCCAGCCCTGCCCCTGCCCCCACCCCCAAGGCACCCATGGGTTTTACACGTGATTCCTCGGGACTGGCTTCTTACTGGTCATGTAATGTTCCCAAAGGCATCCATGATGAGGTGTAGGCCACCCTCCATTCCCTCCCTCCTCCGCCAGTTTTGAAGGTCCTCATCCTTCCAAGTGGCCTCAAGGTCCCCAAGGGCTTGTGAGGACAGTCAGCCACCATCTCTTTAAGTCAGCCCAGCCGGCTGCATTTCCATGGCTGCACTGCTGGTAAGACCCCCTCTCTTAGCCTGTGGCCCTACCCAGTGGCCACTCCAGTAGCGTGTCACTGAGGGGGGACCCTGCTGCCCTAAGAAACCCTCTTGACTTTCCTAGATAGAATGAGCACTCATCATCCACCATGCCCCTCCAGGACCCCCTCCTTCCCACCCCAAAACACCTATGATCCCTTCAGCACCTTAGATTAGCAGTACAGGTTAGCCCCAGTACCAGGCCGCCTTGTTCTCTGTCCCACCGAGTCCTATAGGCAAAATCTGCTGAGAGAATTGCTTATGACTCACAAATATGCAAAGGAAATGAGCAGTGTTCATTTCAGTCCACGATCTTGCCACCAGCCTGGTCTGTCTTTTCCTGTGGGTCCTAAACAATTCTGGATTACCTCTGTTGGCTGGTTCATGGAGAATACAGACTTGCCAAATCCATGCCTCCAGGACGGAGGGACACCGGAAGGAGTCAAGGGGCCCTGGTGAACACTCCACTCAGGTTTGAGGGTGCTCACGGAGTAGCAACTGCTCCAGTGGGGTCAGGATGCCCCAGTTTTCCAGGGGAGCTGAGAACCAGGGGTGAGATGAGAAACGACTCCATTTCTGATGCTAGTGAATAACGCACATTTTAACATGCAATATTATACGAAGAAAAAGATCACACAGACTGAGGCAGCCCCTGAACTGCCAGGTTACAAGGTCTGCTTGGAATAACGCACTTAATGTCGAGGTGTCAAAGACCCCACATTGCACAAGAGGGAAAAATGTGAACCCAAGGTGAGAGGCTTCATGCTGAAGCTTGGGATGTTTATGATGTGGTTACAGATTGGCATGTTCAGTTGGTTTCCCCTAATCAAATTCACAGGAGCTGGGGACAGCAGGGAGTTGTTGGTCAGTCAAGAGTATAAAACTTAGCTGGGTGGTGGTGATGCATATCTTTGATCCCAGCACTTGGGAGGCAGAGGCAGGCAGATCTCAGTGAGTTCAAGGTCAGCCTGGTCTACAAAGAGAGTTCCAGGACAGCCAGGGTCTGTTATACAGAAAAACCCATCTTGGAAAAACAAAACAAAACAAAACAAAAACCTTCCTAGTACTGAGGCCTCCCTCCCCCCAGGGTTTCTCTGTATTGCTTTGGAGGCTGTCCTGGAACTCGCTCTGTAGACCAGGCTGGTCTTGAACTCACAGAGATCTGCCTGCCTCTGCCTCCCGAGTGCTGGGATTAAAGGTGTGCGCCACCAACACCCGGCTAAGTGCTGAGACCTTTTAATGCAGTTTCTCATGTTGAGGTGATCCCCAACCATAAAGTTATTTTCAGTGCTATGTCATAACTTTAGTTTTTTACTGTTATGAATCATAATGAAAATATCTGTGTTTTCTGATGTTCTTAGGTGACCCCAGTGAAAGGGTCATCTGACCCCCTCAAGGGGTCAAGAT